GACTTGTTACTGTTAAGTTTATCAATTAATTCCAAAACCTCCTCTAATGACACTTCAATCTGTGACAATTCCTCAGAACCATGGCTCAGGTTTGGGAATCTCTCTAACATCCTCAGCCATAAAGACTGAAGCAAAGAATTCATTTAGTTTCTCTGCAATGACTTTATCGTCTTTAAGTGCTCCTTTTTTATCTTGATCGTCCAGGAGCCCCACTGGTTGTTTAGCAGGCTTCCTGCTTTTGATGTACTTAAACATTTTGTTATTACCTTTTGTGTTTTTGGCTAGCTGTTCTTCAAACTCCTTTTGGGCTTTTATTACATTTTTACACTTAATTTGGCAGTGTTTATGCTCCTTTCTAATTACCTCACTAGGATTTGACTTCCACTTTTTAAAAGATGCCTTTTTATCTCTCACTGCTTCTTTTACATGGCAGAAATAAACAGCTGAACATTAATTCTCACTTATTTTTCAAATCCACAACTATTCATCTTACAACACTGCCTATTCTCTTGGCCTGATGTAGAGCTAAGATAGTGATTGCACTATGACAGGTTACATGGAAGAAGAATCATCAGCACATATTAATGGGATAAAAACCACCTTCAACTGAGTAAGAGTGATCCTTACCATCCATACATTAAGTTTACGCTGGAAACTCTGCAATAAGAGTATTTCCAGATTAAAATGCTATTTAGAGAACCAATCTATTCTTACTTATACCAATGTCTACAACCTTTAAGTATCAGAGGGGTAGCCGTGTTAGTCTGGATCTGTAAAAAGCAACAGAGAGTCCTGTGGCACCTTTAAGACTAACAGATGTATTGGAGCATAAGCTTTCGTGGGTGAATGCCCACTTCGTCGGACGAAAAGGGACCCTGGTGGCTCTGGTCAGCACTGCTGCTTTGTTGCTTTTTACAACCTTTAAGTGATTTTAAACAGATGTGTCCCCCCCTAAACTGTATGTATTCAGTTCTGGGATAGGACTGCCAACTTTCTAATTGCACAAACCGAAACCCTTGCCCTGCCCCCGATCCCGCCCCTTCTCCAAGGCCCCGCCCCCTCTCACTCCATCCCCTCCTTCCTCCGTCACGCTCTCTCCCCACCCCCACTCACTTTCACCGGGCTGGGACTGGGGCTTGGGGTGCAGGAAAGGGTGAGGGCTCTGGGGTGGGGCCAGAAATGAGGGGTTCAGGGTGCAGGAGCGGGCTCAGGGCTGGGGTAGAGGGGAGGGTCCGGATGGGGGGGGTGGGCTCTGGGGTGGGGCCAGGGATGAGGGAGAGAGTTTGGGTGCGGGAGGGAGCTCAGGACTGGGGAAGGGGGTTGGCGTACAGGAGGAGGTGTGGGGCTCCAGGAGGGGACTCAGGGCTGCGGCAGGGTGTTGGGGGGAGTGAGGGTGGGGGTGAAGGGTGCAGGCTCTGGGAGGGAGTTAGGGTGTGGGAGAGGGTTCTGACCTGGGGCAGGGGTTCGGGCTCTAGCCAGGCGCTGCTGGTCAGAGGCGCAGCGGGGCTAAGACAGGCTCCCTGCCTGCCCTGGCTCTGTTTGGCTCCCGGAAGCGGCCAGAATGTCCAGCTCCTAGGCGGAGGAGCCAGGGGGCTCTGTGTACTGGCCAGGCCCGCAGGCACCACCCCTGCAGCTCCCAGCCAACGGGAGCTGCAGAGCCAGTGCTCGGGGCGGGGGAAGCGCGCAGAATCCCCGTGGCCGCCCCTGCACCTAGGAGCCAGCCATGCTGGCCAGTTCCGGGAGCTGCACGGAGCCAGGGCAGGCAGGGAGCCTGCCTTTCCCCGTTGCACTGTCAACCAGACTTTTAACGGCCTGATCAGCAGTGCTGACCAGAGCCACCAGGGTCTCTTTTCAACTCTGGTCAAAAACTGGATGTCTGGCAACCCTACTCTGGGACCATATCTATAAAAAAGTTATGTTAAACCATAACTATACTAGGATTTTAACACAAGGCAGTTTGCAGTTTTAACATGTACTGATAGTGAAGGAAAACCTCCCCCTTAGGGTTTTCTTTAACCACAACACATCTTAAAACTACAAATTGACTTGTCTACAGTAGGACTTTAGCATGTGTTACCTAAAACATGTTAAAGTATTTTTTTTCTTAGTGAGGACAAGTTCTAGGACAAAAAAATAGTATAAAAATATAATCACATGTAACAACATGCTGATACACGGGATACCTGATGGAGACATAGAGGGAGTATCCTTGAGTCCATACGCTCAAATTCTTCTCGAAGCATGGAAAAAAGGAACTGCAAAGTCTGTTTTTGTTGCTTTTGCTGATAGTTCACATTTGTCTCATCAGCATCTTCATCATGAACTGAGTCTGTAGCTTTAAGGAGAGCATTCTCTTTCTTGAGTGCTGTGGTGTCAATTGAAGGAACTCCTTTAAATGGAAACAAATACCTAGATTAGGATGCAAATATTACTAGGAAAATGAAAACAAAGCTGCTGGTCTTATTAAAGTCAGGTGTAACAGATGGACTGACACTGATGCAGGACTCTATCTGAGAAACACTAACATATTTCATGATTTTTTTTATAGCTGTAACTAAAGGGGTGCTGTGGTCCAATTCGGAAAAATATTGAACCAGTTAAAACTATTCTGCATAATTCAGAAAGAGATTAGTGGCCTGGGTGACTTCATATAATGAAGGCTGTGACAATTTCTACAGTAATCCTGATTTTGATCCCTTTGAACATTTCTTAAAACTTCCTTTTGAAATGTAACAGGTGTGGCCTTGGGCCAAAGAGGCACTTTTGTTGCTGGAAGTTTGAGATTAATTAATTTTGGAGACATGGAATTTACAAGACTTCTAACTTTTTGGTAGGCTCATCACTCAAAAATGGCTTAGTTTAAAAACTTCAAAGTTGTTTTGAACATTAGCCTTCATAAACAACGGGACTACTTTTACTATGGCTGATGGCATTTCTCTCCCCTCCCCCATTTTAAAGGGCCCCTTCTGAAACTCTGGGAGCTATGTGAAGGACTCTGCAGATGTGACTTCCCTGAGAGGTTTTGGGAAAGTTAAGAGCAATATGTAATTGCAGAGCTTATAAATTCAGTTTGATAAATAGCTATGATTATTTAAGCATTAAGAAGTTATTCACAGTGCATAAACGGCATTTATGAACTCTGCAGGTGTGATGGCAGGACTTGTAAGAGAGACAGATACGGTTCCCTCAGACAAATTCCATCAGCATTGCATTTCACTTATGTTCAATTCCCTGCTAAACTAGGAAGGAAACAGAGCAGAGATCTCCTGGTTCCCTATTTTAATATCTCACCTCATCATTCACTGGAGCTGGGCGTCTTTAGGTTCCACAGAAATCTTTAGGAATCTGGTATTCAGCAAGCTCAATTGTACATTTTTAATAGCTAAAAACTTTGTTTATGGCCCACTCGTTGAAATAAATTATACAAATAAATAAATAAATAAGCCAGGTGCAAATTTGAGTGTAGCTTAAGCCTTAGCAAGGCAACCAATTCCTCAGATATCCTAGCCACGTTCTAAGTTTGAAGTTTAAGTTCTTCAATTTTTGAGCTATTAAGTTTTTACAGTGTATGTGTCGAATTTAGTTTGGAAAAAATATGAACAAGAGGATGTATTTTCTGTATAATTTATCAAATGCTCCCATGAGTAGGAAAGCTCCTATTAACTGCACCAAGCGATGTATTATCTCAAGTGTATCATGCAATGTCATTTTACAACATTTGGTTACAATTGTACCAGGGTTGATCTTTTAAAAATGCTACAAAATAACTCCATAAGGATAATTCTAGAGTTCTTCCTTTGTAAATTTAGGTTCCATTAGACCTCACTTTTAAGCAGCTGACACCTCATGAATCACCATTGCTATTGCACTGAAATTATGAAGGCTCATCAAATGCAATCTGACTATTAATACCCATCAGGATTTCAGTTCCCTCACTTATAAGTTGCATCATCTCCTTAATCAGTATATCCTGCTTAAACTTAGTATTGCTGAGTGACAATCCTCTGCCAACGGAATAGGAAGAGAACCTACAAGAGATTCTGGATGCAAAGCAGATGTCTGAGTTTGAAGAGCTGCACTGGATAATTCATGCAAAAGTCTCTAATGCAGCAATCCTAGTGGTCACTTGTTTGCCATTCTAAGAGCCTCATTCCAGGGATAGTTTACTGTGAACATACACAAAAACATTACAATCAGATTTTTATAATATTTTGTGCTTCTAGAAGCAACATTCAGAGACTCTTAAAGCACTGTACAAAAGGCAGATATGATTTCCATTTTACAACAGGGGAAAACTCGGTCACACAACGAGAAACGAACTTCCCTAAAGTCATGCAGCACATCAGTGGTAGAGTCCCAATGAAAACACAGGCGCCTTACTCCCACTGCACTGCTCTAAGCACCAGCCCAAGAGGAGAGATGGATAGTGCGATGGTGATGGTGGAAGTCAAATTTCAGTTTTCTTCGATAACATAATAGCAATGTTTAAAAATAACACACCCATTTGACTTGTCACCTTTGTTTTTAGGGAAATAGGAAGGGAGATTGACTCAGACCTGAACATCAGTGCTTTAGAAGAGATTACTTCTTTAAAAGCTTTCCGCCCCCCACCCCCACGCTTGAAAACCTATTCCATACGTATGAGTCAAGATCAACTTGCCCGTGATTTCTTAAAAGCTAATTGGATTGTTTTCAGTGTGATAAAAAAGAAGAAGAAATTCCATTTTAGTCAAGCATTTCCCTCTATTTTTTGCAGCAGAACCAGAGCATGAAACTGACTAAAACAAGGGGCATAACTGGGGTGAAAAGTAAATTAAAATTTCAATTTTTGGTTTTCATTTTTCATAATCTAAGGTGTTATCAATAAAAGACAAGGATTTTGTTTTCAAGCCTCTGATTTTTAAACCTGACAATGTTTCTAATCCTTTCTGGAGTTTTGCCACTTTTGCAGCTAAACAGCTCATTCGTCCGTATAGTGGCATTCTATGCCTCTATAGTTCTTTCAGCGAATTTGGTACATTTAAGCTTTCGCTACAAAGCTTTCTCTGTTTTTGCCTGGTAACATTGCTATTTTATTATGAATATCCTGTTTTACTGCTATTTATTACGCATATCCTGGGTTTTGGAGTCATTTTGTAATAGCTGACTGCATACAGCCTTTAAAGAGAATATGAATGAAAGGGCCAATTTTGCTCCATTGTAGTCAGTGGATGTTTTGCAATCTGTGGGTCTATCAAGAGCAAGTGTGAGACTTGTGAAAGCAGAAGACGGTCTTCTTGGGGACTGGCCCATGCCTATATAGTATTCCTAAAAAGAATTGAGAATGGCTGTAAACTTTACCTGCCTTCTGGACAAAAGGAAAAAGCTATAAGCTTCACCACAGTTTTCTCATAATGATTTTACTATAATAAATATTATTAATATCAATAGAGAAATATAAAAATAAAACTCTCTTTCAGTGTAGAGAAAGCAGGAGAGCACTGAAGAGTGAGACTAATTTTAGTTTACCTGCTGGAATAATATAATTTTGTAAGGCACTCAGTACTACGACATTGAGTCCGGGAGAAAAGCCTAGATTATAGGCTTCTTTTACCTGGAGGCCTTTCTTTATGGCAAAATGCAAGGGGTGGCCCCCGAACAATAGGGGGGAGGGAATTTTTTTCTGGTATAATAGGCGGCCACAACATAGAACTACTGGGCTAGATAGACTAAACAGGCAGAATTCAAGCGGAGCCAGATCAGGCCGTAAGTGAATGCCATTTTCCTTTTTCTGCAGTACAAGAGGCTCACTTATAATTGTTTCCCTAATTCAACCCATTACTTGTTTATTTACTTTGTTCAAACTTTGCCCTGCCTTTTAACCTACATTCTGATGTTTTATTTCTTGGCCAACCACTAGAGCTGTGTGAGGTATGTTTATACAACACAGAGTGACTCTGTGTCCTATAATCTCAAAGCAAGGGGACTAACAGATCAAGTGGGGAAAAATTAGTATCTGTTCTTTCCAGTTCAAATCTAGGCTGCTGACTGAAATTAAATGAACAGCAATCATTCTACTCCCTGGAATCAGAGCAAGTTTAGGGCCGAATAACCTCACAGGAAAATAAAACCCACATGTATTTAACTTTATCTGACCAAGAGTGAAAAAAATTAGTAAGATTAACATACTGTAGAAAAGTAGTTGTTATATGCAGAGGTACAGCCATTTAGATAAAGAAGCAAGTGCTCCCCTGGTTTAGCGACAGTCTCCCTAACCCAATGCAATTATGCCGAAGAAACATACTCATATCTGGCTTTTCCCTAGAAAGATCTCATGGAACACCCCCAGCACAACAGAGCTATTATTACAATCATATGTATATTGCTGATTATTGAAACAAATGTGGTGAACTTGTACCAATTGTAGGACTTTGTGTCATGGGCTCCCAAAAACACTCCAGGATGTGCCTATGACATGGCTTAGAACTCTCACAAAAAACTCTTCGGGATGCTGCACATTCACACAAATCAAACGGCAGGGCTCTAGTACTATTCTCATTCAAATCTAGTAAGCTTTCTAGAGGAATAATGACTTACTAATTAAATTGACTCAGATTTCTCTAGAGGTCTGATGCAGAGGATTCAAATGGTCACATGACTCTTCCAAATTATTTAGTTTCAATGTATCTTTCTACTATTTTAAAAACACTAGATTTCACTTGACACATCTGACCTCCACAAATACATCATCTCTCTTACACTCCGTTTTTGGTGCATGTTGCTGCTGCTGCCATGTTATATATTCAGTAGGTTCCTCTCTCCTTACAGCTCCTTTCAAAAATTGTTTCAGACTATGAAGACTACCTAAATTATCCAAGTTAACTCTAGAACTTACTGATGTACTTGAAATATCAATAAAAATCATCTGTATTGTTTGCAAACAGATTATTACAATTGTTGTCTTAATACAGTATCTACATGTTAGATTTAGTTGTTCACACTATAGTTGATAAAATATTTTACAGATACCTTTATCAGTATAAATTTCCAATGTAAATAAATAGCTAACATAATACAATGAAGAATTTCTATCTTGTGAAATAACAATTACGGCTGTTGCTACAGCCAGATCTTATTTTTATGACATTAAAAACTGAGATGAAGCTCATCTAGAGGATTTAGTTTAAGAAGAATATTTTGCTTTACAAGTGGATTGCTAGAAGATTGCATGTCATTACCTGAGTCTTTAAGGATCAGTTTAAATCTGGTCCTAGTTAGAAAACACTAGGAATCATTACCATCTCATCACCTGTAGCTGTGATTTGACTCCCCCATCAACCATTATAGTCACTCTCTTGGTCTGATCTTGACCCAGATTTGTGCTCTTGCTTGCCTAATTCCCTTTCAGAG